GGGGGATCACAAAGACAAGGACCTAGAGAAAGAGCAGCAAAAAAGCAGATGCCAGATAGAAACAGTGATCTTTACAACATTTAAAACAAAAAAGCCTGACCAACACTAAAGAAAGGTGACTAAAAATCAATGCTACTTGCAAAAAGAGGCATGGCAGAAGGGATATAAAGATGCAAGATTGGTCCATGAGTGGCAAGAAACCCTATTTCTCTCTTTCTACTTAGAACACTTTAAGGGTGTGCTTTTAGCCAAGATGCAGCAATTAACTGTGAAAGTAATCTTGGCCCCTTTTGGTACCAAATAAATCCACTTACTTAACCCTGGAAAGCAACACCTTCAAATAAAGGGTGCTGTGCTCCCCATGAAGAGGCAGAAGCCTAACTCCAAAAGCCCTCAATCTAAGAACAGGGAACTTACAATACAGAAGCCAGAGCATCCCCAGGAACTGAGAGTTGTGGCCTTTCTATGTCCCTCTCCTAGGCCCTGACTGCAGCCAGTGAGCAGCACCAGTGGAACCAAATGGTACAGCAGAGAACACTGCCAGGCACACACTCATCTCCTGACACTGTGTGGACAGCCAGCAAGTCCCAGGATCTCTAAGCCAGGACTCCCAGATGAGCAAAGATCTTCCTCAGCACCAAGTCCACAGCCCAGATAAAGAGTGAAAAGCAGCCTCCCTTCCCAGAGATTCCTTTGGGTCCTGATAAAGTTATACTAACCATAATAGCCCTGTTTTACGTATTACATGTACTGTAATGCTGAAAATTGGTCTGCAGTTATGTAATTGCAGAGGAAATGGCTACAGCCCTGCTCGGCCCAGCTGAGAACGCCATCCCACGACGCCTCCACCGCAGGCAGGGCTCCCAGGGGCTGCAAGGAAAGAGCTCCCATCCTGCCTGCAGGCACAGCAGCAGCAGCAGCAGAGGCTGAGGTGCTCGGGACTGTGCTCATACTTCACTGTCTGTCAGGTTTTCCATTGCAAACACTGCTGACACAGTTTATAGCTTGACCGTTTCAAGCCACATCCATGCAAAACTTGGCAGAGAGGGAGCTGCTCTCACCCTCCCTCTTCCACCTTAGAGAAATCTGTCAGATTCCTGCTTTAAAGTCACAACATTTCTTTTCTGCAGCAGAAATACATTTTTAAGTCATTCCATGAGGCTTTTTTTGGTTAAGGTTTAAAAGAAGCCTATGTAGTCGACAGACAGGACTTACGTCAACTACTCACATAGTTTTTCTGAAACAACTCAGAAATGTTTAGATAGTGTTGGACAGAGCAGGTTGATTACACCATGCCTTTAAACAAATCACAGTCACTTCTAGCAAGAAACACAAACCCTGTAACTACAGCCCCTTTCCAGACAACATCTGTAGAGACTGTAAACCTCCTTTTTTCTTCTGATGCATTTGTGACCATTGCTACATGCAGATTTTCCTCCCAGCTAAGGAAAAAAAGAAAAAGATAAGTATTCATCAGATACAAAAGGCACACTGGGTATTTTGATCTTATAAACAGAATTAAGGTCCGAAGGACAACTTTTGTTGAACCAAGATAGGCGTTTGCTGCAAAAACCAAATGCTGGAGCCCGAGAGCTGGTACACTATTAAATAACTTGTTCTGAAGTATAACAGCTTTATTTAAGTCTAGGAAGGCTTGCTTCCACAGTAATTGCAGCAACAACCAGGTTATAGTGACCCAAAGGTTTCACAACTCAGACTGAGGGTTTTGGAATTTTTCACCACATATACTACACTGACCTTGCTCCTAAGTCATAATACTGGACAGAAGTTTGAACTTCAAATAATGTCCAATAGCACAATAATGAGGACAACTTATCCAACTCTTTCAGTGAAAGAGAAAACCAAATGAGACAAGGCCCATCTCCTATATGAGAAAATTAACACTGAGCAATACTACACAGCAGGCATGACACACTTAAGGTGAAGCTAAAGAAGCTTCATGAAATACCAGATAAGGCTTCAATAAATCAAATACCACATATTCCCCCGCCCCCTTCTACCTCTGCCCCATACACTGGGCTCTGAACAAGCACAGTTTATGTCCTTCAGGAAAGCACACAATTTGGAGGCCAACATCAGAAAAGATGGTAACTCTAGCTCAGGGCCTAGAAGTGTGCAGAAGAAAACACCCAGCAGGATGTGAAACGTGCACCATCATTTGGAAACTCATTGTGAGCTTCCTTATGTAAAAAGCATAGGGACATTTGACCAGAAAAGAGAAGGTGTTTCTTTCCTATGAAAGCCATGCAACAAAGCCAAGTCAAAGTTTTTTCTGCTCCAGAAAACAAAAGAACCATTTAAGTGTCCTTGGCATCAGCAGGCAACCCTATTCAGGCAAGGTTTTAAAATGAAACAGTCATCTGTGTGCCTTTACATATCTAAGCTCCCCAAAGTACAGTTAAACACCCAAAGCAGACATGATATGCTATATACATGTCTGTACATAAAAGGAGGTTCAAAATATTGGCCCAACACCACATCCAACACACACTGTCCAGTCTGAGACAACCTTTCAGCTGTCAGCTAACAAGCTGTCCAGCAGCTCTTCCTTCCTTTCACTGAAGACACTGTCCCTGCTGCAAGTGACATCCAAGTCACCTTGCATCTCCTTTGTATGGATTAGAAGAATGAGCCTAATTTATACATCACAGGTAGAGCTTCACAACTCTTACAAAGCCAACATAACCATACAGTCAAATGAAGCATTACACATGTGCATAGCCCAATAACCTTATTTTCTTGGAAATTATACACCCATGTTCTTAGAGGTCATAACCACATCTTCCAGGTTTGCTTGCTTACACTAAGCAGATACTCAAATTCAAGCCATAATTTCTAAATTCTGAAAGTTGACTTTCAACAAAATTTTACTAGTTTCATTACATGCCATCCAAAGGTTCAGCTGTAGCTGAAGAGACAAGATACTGTAATGAAGTCATTCTTGTGGTATCCTTAACCTAGGGAAGAATTAAGAGACTGTTTGGAGTCCTGTTATTGGAATAACTAAATCATGAGCTCCCTACAAGAACAGTCAAAAAAGGCATCCAAGCAAGGGATGCTCTCTACATCACCAATCTGTGACTTAGGAGCTTATCTGCTGGTTTTTTTTTAAGGATATAGATATTTTTATTTTGTACATATATAAAGAGCAAAATCACAGCTTGGAATTCCAGGCTGCAGATTTCCTTTCTTGTTTACAGGGACATTAAGGAATCTGGCTGCCAAGCATCAGAATATGGTTTTAAGAAGTATAATCCAAATTCAAGGATGTTCCCTGAAAAGAGTCCCATTCCAGGATCTACTAATTAATTCAAACCCTGACATTCTCCATTTCTATCTCTGCATACCATGTGGTTCAATACAATGTGGTCTGAACTGCGCAAGGCAGGGAGGCCACACTAAATGAAAACACAAAGGAACTGTAACTGGAATTCAGACGCTTCTTGTATTATTTAACAGCCCAATTAATTCCCTTGGCTCCACAAGCCATTATCCAAGACAAGGACACCATGAATAGGAATATAAGTTGCCACAATATAACCAGGCTTGCTCTGATGACAGGGACACCCACTACTGACAATGAGAAGCCACAGGCTTGGAAAGGAGGATGCTTGTCCACTAGGCCAGACACAGTTCAAGAAGTGAAGACATTTTTCCCTCTTCAATCAAAACTACTGCTGTTAATGGGGCAGATGAGCAGTTTGGTTTCCATTAGTTCTGCAAGTGATACAGTCAGTACCAAGGAGATGGGTATTTCTGCCCACACTACCCAGTGCCTTTCCATACACAATCCTTTTGGACTCCACACCAGCCAGTCACCAGCCAGCAAATGACTGTATCACTTTGAGCCAAACAAGCATGAGGCTCTCATACAACAGAGAAATCACCACTCCATTAAAAGAAGGGGAAAAAATACAATGCATGGCCATCTCTGTGGATAACCTAGCTCTGGAAGGTGAATTTGAACCTCGGATCAGAGCGGCCCAGTGTCCCCAGGCTCTGCTGTGCCCAGCACACTCCAGAGCCTGCCAGTGGAGAGAGCCCTGGATGTGTAGGTACCACAACGTGAGCCTTGGCTTGAACAGATCCAAATGTCAGCAGCCCCTCTGGATGAGGACACACAAGTCACGAGTGGGCTGGAAACCAGTCCTGGACAACAGCTCTGGATTAATACACAAGGAGTGCTGGAGAGGAGGAGGGGAGCTGCTGAAGACAGGCAGTTATTCAAACCAGCTGCTAAGCCACTCCAACCACTCACACGTACACACTCTCCTGCATGTGTTCTGCCCAACTCAAAGCTACCAGGCATCCAAAAGTTCGAGTACAGAAAAGAAATCTATACAAACATTTGCCAAAAATCTCATTTTCCAAGTGCAAGCTGGTTATTCCACGCATGGCAGAAGGGGATTTCATCTTGCTTTTACATGACAGCCTCTGCCTCTCTGCCTCAAAATTCCCCAATTAACACTTCTGCAAGAAGTTTTGAAACTGTGCATGGCCACGTATTTATCTACGCACATTCTCTCCCCTCCCTACTGAGCTCTGGGCCACAGGCTAAGCTGTCAAGCCAAGTTTCATCCCAAGCAATTTTTAAACACTCATCCTATAAATCCTCTGCAAAGGGAGTTAGTAATGGAAATACTGACAGAAACTTGAAGAGACAGCAGGGCAGCTATAGCAGCCTACTATACATCAGCTTCATTAGCTGCAGATCCTTCTCTCCGTCACCTTCATTTTCCATTAGTGTACCTTGGCTAATTAACACACAAAACCTATGAAACATTCTTACAGTAGAAGGCAACATTTGGCCCCCAGCCCAAATCAACATCAAAAAACTTCAACATCCTCTGCCAGACATAGTAACTGTACCAGATGGAGCAAACGTACAGCTAACAAGTAGTGATGAGGAAACTGAAAGCAGAGGAACAAATGCAAAAATCAGACCATCAGAAGAGGGAAAAGCAGCAAATACAACTTACCACTTTCATTTTTCTCTATGACATCCACGACCTCTCCAGCCTGAAGGCTAATCTCAGAGTTCTCCTGCTTCTCATAGTTGGACACCACCACATATTGCTCCAGGATCATGGGTTCAGAGCTAGCATCAGCACCTGGGGAAGGGAAAAAGCAAGCCGTAAGCCAGCTTCCAGCCATGGCTCCTTGAGAGCGACCTCCGTCCATCCGATTCACAACAGGCCAACTTGTCACCAGAGCCAAGCGAATCAGCAAACAACCCTGGCTCGCAGCATATCCCCAAATGGCTGGCCATATAGAAACAGCCTCCTCTGGCCCACAACCCAGCAGCACAGAGGGACATTGGAGAGAAGAAGAAGAAAAAAGGGGAGGAAAAAAAAATACAAAAAGGAGCCAAAAAAGTGGATTAGTTGCACAGTTTCATGATGGATTCTGAAAATAAACCTCTTCCCAACATGGTTTCCACAATCCTTGCTCCCATTCAGAGAAAAAAATCCTGGGCAGAAGCAGTATAAATCCACAGCTGAGCCATCCCCCCAGTAAACCCAAAGAAGAAACAGCTCTCCCCTTGGCGGCTCAGCTCCTTCTCCACTCTAAAGGCTTGAGCTGAAAGTCAAGAGGGGGCTGTAGATGCCAATCATATTCGTCTGCACTGCAGCCCTTAAATAGAAACACATGAGCGGGGCTGAAAGAGAGGGAGGTGGGGTGGAGGGAGCGAGGGGAGGGCGGGGAAGAGTGTTTACTTGAAACAGAAGAAGAAAAAAAGTCATAGCGCCAGATCGCTGCTCGAACACGGCCGCCCCCTGCCCCCGGCAGCCCCGCGGTTCCGCATTCCCCCGGCAGAGCGGCCCCGCCGGGACGGGGCTCGGCTCCCCCTCTCCATCGCCCCTCTGGGGCCCTCGGAGCCGACCCCCAGTTGTTTGATTTCTCTTCGGAGCAAGGGCTTTCGGCTGTCAGAGCCATTTATGAATGAGAGCAGGCGCTCACGCCAACAGGGGCCACGAAAGGTGCAAAATAATGCTCTCCTCCTTCCCTTCCCCCACATCACTAGTCTTTTTTATTATTATTATTCTTATTTCTGACTTTTTCACCCCCAAACCGAAATCATGCATTTCGAGGTGGAGCCACGAGGCAGGCACAGAGCAGTGCCAGATGTGGAGGGAGCCCTTGGGCTGCCGCATCTCGGCTCTGCAGCGCAGCACAAACAGACCCTGCGCTCCCGAACCCGGGCACAGACCGGCTGTGCTCGGCCTAGAAACCGCCTTGAGAAGTCATAAGAACCTCTCCGTTTACGTCTTGACTTTGTAAGAGCCAACATGCCTTCATGCAAAATTATTTTACAGGTTTTCTCAATTACAGCAGTTTGGGACACTGGCATTATTAACATTTCACATGTTAAGAGGCAGGTCCTGTGGCTCTGGATTAAGATGCTGACTGAAAGGGAGGACAGAAGCAGATACACAACTTGCTGAATGTCCTATTTAATACAACAGGGACACAGCCAGGAGCAGACTTTGGGTTTTCCTGAATTTCTGATGACAAATTGGCTACAAGAGACGGGAAGGAAGCAGCATGGTCTGAAACTGTCCACCAGAAAAGTCAAGGGACTGACAACCAAGCACAGGATGCTGGGTGCTGTATTTCCAAACTCAGCATGTTCATATGTGTTTGGACTGGAGATGCAAAGTGATTCTACAGACAAGTAATTAGCATCCCTGCCAAGAAAGAGGTAAAGAATGCATCAGCCATTAAAACAGCATCCTGTGAAATGAAAATCCTAGAAAAAAGGCAATTAATTCAACTGTTTCCTGAAAGGAAACACTATCACAATGCCTCCCCTTGGACCAGGTTTAAGAAATCCAGAAAATTAGAAGACTTCCTTGCTCCCTAAGCATGCCTCTGCCTCTCCTCAAATTACATAAGTTAATTTTCTTTAAAGAGGAGTCATCTCCTCTAGAAGCTTGTGTTTAAGAGATTTAGCTTTTCTATAGATTGTTGAACCCCAGCCAGTAGCAGGAATAGGAGGAGAAGACCATGAACTGACAACATAGAAATTTATAATACAAATTTTCACCATAGCTATCCATTCCAAATAAGCATCATGTTTCTCTTCATGATCAATCAACCTGACTCATGCACTCTGGTTTAAACCAGTGCTAGCTGAGCTACCTAGAGTACATTGAGATGCTTTCCCCTGTTTCACACTGTTTCCCACACAGTCTTTTCTCCAGTCCAGAATCCAGCAGCATTATAATCTTCCTTCAACCTGCTGAGGCAAGTAATACCTACAACCCCTACTTTGTTTTAGTCTTGAGATAAATACAAGTTTTTTAACCAGAAACAAAAGCTGTCATGGACTTATGTCTATGCACGTGCACCAGCAGAGAATTCAGTGTGTAGAAAGGCAAGAGGCACCAAACAGTGGCAAGGGGAGCAGGGGACATGCAGGAAGCTAATTGCTAAACCAACAACTCAAATGCCTTCTTTCCTCCAACCTACTAGGCAGTTTTCATGGGACTGGAGTAAGGAAAAAAGACTGCATTGGCTTGCTGGCAGGAGCAGTGTTCATGTGATGCATGTGTCCCTGCTGGGAACAAAGAGAGGACCAGGCTGGCAAACACCCCACCAGCAGCCACAGAGGCCACGCCAGGGACTGCGTGCCAGGGGAATGCCCTTGCCAGGAAACAGGGAGAATCAGCACTTCAAATCCACCTCTCAACTCTGCTTCAAAAAAAAAAAAAAAAAAAAAAAAAAGGCACTTAAAACAGTTTGGCGAGATAGGTTATATCTGCATTTTCATATCTGAAATCCAGCAGGGTTTCTCTGCCCTGCCTTGGATAAGGTAGTCATTGCAGGAGGATTTCTTTGTCACTACAATGGCTGGAGGAACACATACAATTAAGAGATTGTTTTAACAGATGCTTGTATAACTGCTACAGGGCTCCTATTAAGACCAAAAAAAAATAGGGTGATAAATTCCTTGTTCTAGGAAGTAACCAAGGTCAAACAAACGTGTTCATTTACAGCTGCAGCAGATCATGCCTAAAAGGATATCCCCCTTTCAAGGCGTGGGGTCCCTGTGGCTCCTGGACTGATGGTCACCCAAGATTAGGTACTGCACAATTGGGAAGATTTCAGTAAGAGCAAAGAAAGGAAGAAAAGGAGGAGGAAAAAACAGAGAAACGACTCCTTCCAGCAACCAAAAGCCTTAACCATTTTCTGGGTAGCCTGGTTTGGGTTGCTACTACATTCCCTTCAGGCACAGTCAATAGAGTAAGGGACTCTAATCGTCCTCAGCCTTCCATCCCCCACAAGCTTTAGATGAATTACTGCTCAGTGACACTCAGGATGCCCACAACATTGCTGCTACACTATGTCAGACTCTCCAAAGGGGATTCAAAAGAACAAGGCAGGCAACACCACAGGCAGCACAGCACCAATTACACCCGCTGCCCTGGGCGCTTCCGCAATTAGTTCAGGTCTAATTTGTACCACAGGACACAGCATGCATTGAAGAGTAACAGCCTGCTCAGTGTGAGCACGCCAGGGGACAGGGATGCAGCGTGGCACAAGTTCCCCAGCAAGCTTACATGCAGCTGCAATGCCACCCTGACACAACAGCCCTACTTTTTAAAAAGCATCTTCAGCCCAGGCAGGAGAAATGGAGAGCAGAGGACAGGATAACATTGATGTGCCAGGTAGAGGTCCCCCCTCCTCTCCCTCCAAAAAAGCAGAATTAGTGTTTTGGTTAAGCTCCAACTTGCAAGCCCTCCCCAGAGCAGAGCACAGATTGCTGGCTGAAATAAGAGTTTGCTTGCCTCTCCATTTCTTTTTGCCTCGAGTCCGTTTCCCGGTTAAAGTCTTGAGGATACCCCTCCTCCTCTCCATAGGGCTCCACTTTACAATCCTCCCGCTCCTCACCTCAGCACTTCTCTTCCTGGGGCGGAGCAGAAATGTCATTGGAGCTTGTCCATGCCCCTCGCAGCTGGCACTATTAAGTGACAACAGTTGCACCCTGTCCCCCTCACCAGGCAGCGAGGAGAGAGCATCATTCCTCCTGCTGCACTCGGAGACCAGCAACTACTGGGAAAGCCTCCTAAATAAGAGTGCAGAACGTCCGTTCCAGCATCCTCCTCCTCCTGTGTTGCAACAGCTAAGACCTATGATGGTTTTGCAATAGCCAAAAAATGAAAACCACCAACTGGACTCCAAAAATAAAATCATCTGGATATGGGAATGTGAGACTCCTGATCTTTGCCAGATTACTCTGTTGTTATCAGGCTATAAACATGTCTGCTCTTTTAATCCATACAGTGCACAAGCTTTTATATTGCTCTTTCATGATTATCAATCAAATGTTTACAGATTAAGACTAAATGAATTAGTACTGGGCTGGTCAATGGAAGTGCTGCAGAAGCAGCCAAAACCACAGAAACGGCCAGTGAACGCCATGGGGGTGAGTCACAGCAGAAGAATCAACTGCAGGTAGTGCAGCCCTTCCAACATGGGCACAGCTGCTGGGGACACGTGCAGAGCCTGCACGCTGGGCTGGCTGGCACCCACGGCCCCCAGTGTCCTGGCATTCCATGAAATAATGGCAGAGCTCTGCACTTTTCCACACACAGGGAGGAGTAACTGCGGTAGCTTGGATCTAGAGCTGTGGTTTCTTGTTAAAGCCAGTTCTTGAAGGGTAAACTTTTATGTATCTCTGGAAAACTCCTTTTGGGGAAGGATGAAGGGAAAAAAAAAAGCCCAGAATAGCATCAAGCCTACTTAAAATCCTCAGATCAGTCTAACCCCTTACAGCAATCATACACCCAGCTCTAAACACATGAGATTCCTTCCCCTAAAAACTTCACCTCTTTTCTTTCTTATCAGAAGGACCGCATGACTATAATAAATAAACATTAAAATTGCATGTTTTCTTTAAGCCTTCTCCCCGTGATTCATCCTGAGCTGTGTTAAGATAGAGAGCTTAGTTCCATCTAAAAATTGGGTTAAGTGTGTACTGCACACAAGATAAAACAGACTTTGCCATGTAATGCATGTGAGAGTACACAAGAGTTCATCATATCTCAGCAGTGTTGGAAAAGCAGTTCTTAAAATAACCAGTTCCTAGAGTAAGAAGTGAGATGAGACTAATGAAGCCTGCTACAAATCTCTATGGGGACAACATGGATTCAGATCAAAACTGTGTTTCCCAGTCTAGGATCTCTCTTCTATTCAGTGAGAGGGTTTTTTCCTTGTCTAGGTTATTTTGGATTTTTGTTCATTTTTTATTCTTTGTGTGCCCTAAACAATCAGGGCTTTGACTCATCTCCTAGATAGTCCTGTACTACAGCCCTGCTGCCACTTACCAAAATTCAGACTGTATTTATACATCAATTATTCCTGAAGGTAAGACTACTACTGCCACAAGCTGTGACTGAAGGGGATTCATCTTCATCCCTCCCACCAGACAGCAATCCTCCCAATCCTAATAGTGTTCAGCCTCAGTGCTCAGAGGTTCTTGGTGTAGCAGCCCTGAGCCACAAAGCTTTAGGGACAGAGACAAAAGTTTATCACCTCCCACAGTTACTTCAGAAACTCAGTACAAATCCAGTCTCAAGGTCTGGATTATTGCCAATTATAGAATGAAATAAACATTTGGGCAAGTTTATCAAATGGGTTATTAATACACTGTGATTTCTGTAGTTCTTCCCTGAGCCTGGCCAGGTAGCTCTTTTACAAAGCACAAAGTACACTCTATTGCATTTTCAGAAGAGAATTTCAGAAGCAGGTGACACCTTGCTATTAGAGATGGGTGGAAAGCAGAAAGGGAATGGTTTGGATCTGATCACCTAGGTAATGCAGAAGACTCAAAGCCAGAGAAGTTTAGCCTAAAACCTTGTCCAAAGCCCAAAAAAATAAAACAAGATTGAGCATCATGCACTGAGCAATGGCCAGGTCAGTATGTAAACCCTCTCACCCCAGGCTGGCAGCTGTGATTGATGTACAAGAATTTTCTCCCTAAGTGAGCATCCATCCAGCCATCCACCTTCCTTGCTCATGTGCTCTGTAAGCCTTTCAGGACATGGGGCAATAGTAGCCAAAACTCTAGCCCTTCTCGCTATCTTTTGGGCTAAATATGCCAAGATCTGGTCTAGATGGTAACTGCATGAGCTGCACTAAGTCTCTCCTAACCTCCTGCCTTGCTGCTACAAACAGCTATAGGGGGCCCACACCAACAGCACACATTGCCACCAAGAAGAGACTGTGATCAGCACTCATAGCAGCAAAAGGTTAACTGGATGCCTGGACTCATTCCCCACTACAAGACACACATAGTACTTTCTGTCACTTCCAAGACCAAGATCGGGGTGAGCCTTCAGGAGTCTGGACAAGTGGCAGCTTTAACTGTAGACTGTGACTTCCAGCCCTGGCATGTGTGTGACACACAGCTAAAACCAGCAGCAAAACACAGCCTCCATGGGGAGCACCTGAGGAATGAGCCTGGCCCATGGTAAATGGCAGGAGCTCTCTCAAGCAGCTGCTCCAGTTCAGTTCTTCCCTCTTTACAGCCCTCTGCAGCATTTCCAATGAAATCCTGACCAACAGAAAAATTCAGTGCTGACCTTTGCCAAGTGGAGCCTATTGGTCTCGGGAATTTTATTTTTTATTTTTGATCTGCTAGGTTTTAAAATAAAGCCAAGAAAAATTAGAGGCAGGAGCGTGAAAGTAAAAAGTTGAGTCCTCTTTCCACTCCTTCTTGGAAAGTTGGCTCTCTGAACAGTGATTCCAACCAACTAGGTTACAGGTAGCAACAGTTAAGAATACTTTAGTAGTATTTTGCACACAAATCTGTTAAACTGCTTGGAGATTTTCACACAGCTGCCAAACTGGGTCTTCCACCAGGCTGAAGTCACCAATATACTCTGGCATTCGTCCTAGTCCTGCTCAGTGGTGCAACACATTCCCATCCTTCCACAAGGCACAAAGCAGACCAGCCAAGGATTTTAACAGCAGGCAGGGTGACCAAACTGGAGTCCCACCACAGCAGCTCCCAGGGTGTGGCTGTGTGGCACCCATCTTCTTCCAAAGTACAAAATGAAACCAATTTCATGTCTTGGTTAGAGTCCCCACTTCATGGAGCAGGTTCAGAACCTCAGCTAGAGCTTGGGCAGCATGAAACTGGCTTCTGTTCTCATCTCCAAGCCACAGCCTAGCTAGGACACATAAATGTACTACATAAGTAAAGATCACATCCAAATTCAAGTCTGATCTACCAGCTTGACATGTCAGGATACAGCCTATGGCAGATCTGGACTGAAGAAGAGCTATTTTGGAAACTGGGGATTCATTTGGATGAGAAACTGAAAGGCCACATGAACTAGAACAGCATGGGGAGCTAAGAACTTGCCAAATATACAAAAGACTTTTGAACAGCACTATGTATCAACATTCACCTTCTCGAGCACCATGCAATGCAATTAATCACTTATATTTGCACACTCATCATGCACTTTTTTTTTTTGCCACTCTAGCAACATGCATTTAGCTAAAAGCAGTAAGCAGAAGGAAAAAAATTGTATCTATTAGAAACTTTGCCTCCTTGCCCTTTGAGAAGGCTAAAAACCTTGGCATTTAGTTTGCCATTTTATATATCACAACATGAAACAATCCCAACAGACCTATTGAGTCAAAGAAACCCAACCTCACCCCCCAGCCAGGTAATCTGAGGGGTTCTTGTCATTTTTCCTGGGGGACACCACCTCTTCTGTCTCCTCCTTAACATGTTTCTCTCCTGCTCAGTCTCATTCTGTTTTTCTGTCTCAACTCCCCCATGACCTACGAAGCAGCAGGCTCCTGTGACTGAATACTTCAGATATTTCTGCACTTTTATATCCAGTTACCACCCTCAAATTAGACCTATTCTGCAAATATGAGGCAGAACCCCCCAAGAAAATATTCAGCTTCTGACTGCTGCAATCACAGCAGTCTTGCTCACAAAAAAATTCAGACAAGCAAGCACTCATCCATCAAGGATGGTGGGATTTTGTTCACATACTTTCAACAGGGCATGAACTTAAATATTTACCAAATCTGGTATGAAAATCAGCAGGAGTGTTTCCATCTTTCCTTGCCCCAGGACCTATATGTAGCCTTAACTGCTTGAGAGTGACCAGCCCAGCATCCTGTACAGACACAGGATCTATCACTTGTGATCTCTCCTTCTAAGTCTGAAGGAGAAGAGAATTCTTCTGTGATATTCCATGTCAAGTGATGAATGTTTGCAGAATAAATCCACTGGGTACACAGCAGAAGTCCTGATTCCTTATGCTATAAAGCTGAGTTTTTGCCTTGTATGGGACTACTGCTCCCAAGCCCCTGACACCTCACCTAAAGCTGCTCCCCTGCTTCCTCCTCCTTCCTGACTCACTGCAACAAGGAGGCTGATGCTGTCTTGAAAATTCTGCATCTTAATGAGAGTTTCATCTTTTTCACGTGAAAACACTTCTATTTACTGGGGAAATGCAAAGAGCATTTCAGAAGGATAAGGAGCACACAGTCATGTTTCTCTGCCTTATCCTGACTGAAATAAAGTTTCTCCCCCATAGACTAGTGAGAGCACAGCTGTGCAGGTACTCAGCTGTGGCCAGACTCAACCCACCACAGAAGGGGAAGCTGCCTTGGACTGAGGCTTTGAGTTGGGCAAGGGAAATAAAACCCTGCAAACTACTAACCCCTGCTAGCAGCAGCATCAAGGTGAGGCAGTCATCAGAAAAGCAAAGCTCTCCCTTACCAGAAATCATGCATCATGAAAAACCAATACACAAGCAGACAACTGGTCCTGGGTATCCACTGTCAGAGATTCACATTCAAGACAACTCCAAAACCACACACAGCTTGAACTAGAGAATTCTGGTTTTAATAGCATGCAGAACACCAAGACACAAGAATTTACCTGGAGTGACACTCTTTTTTGGAGTCTCAGACAAACTGGACATCCAAACTTGAAATCCAATCAAAGGGCAGCCAAGAAAAAAGAAAGTAATTAGAGACACAAGAAAACAGTCAAAACCAGTCATATCAGAAGGTCTGAGAGTTAGTAAAGACAGCTTTGAAAGAGACAAAGTTTTTCTTAAGAGTAGTGTTGGCATGACGGGGACTCAGAGGAAGGTCAAGTCATAAGAAACACCGAGTTCATTTTTATGTTTTAGTGGATTTGCAGAACTTCTGAAATTGATCTGTAGGTGATCCAATTTTGAGCTCTAAGAAAAAGATATGCCCTGAGCTTATTCCCAGTAGCTCAGAAGACACATACCAAGAGACAGTTTGACTTATTAAGCCTCAGACCTACAAAACTATTTATCTCTGCAGCTGTTAATCATACCCAAAAGACACATAGACAACTGAAATTGAGCTTAGCAAACACATATAAGTTTCTACAAGCATCTTGTTACTCTGAAATTGCATTAAGGAAAATAACAATAGACAAATATAGAAAAGAGTACAAAGCTCCAATAAAGGCACATTCAGAGTATAACTAGAAAATCAATTTTTAAACCAATGAATGAGACAGAGATCAGGTTAAGGAGAAAGCTGATAGGAGTTGCTGCCAACAAGGTCAAAATGTTTCCTTCCCCTTCCATGAAATGAGGTGGAAATACATGGCTTGGGAATTTGGGAATAATCTTCAAATGTTAAGTGTTAATTTTTTCTCAAATACACTAGAAATATGTTTGGAAAGTCAACAGATTTTCCCCCATTTCTAAATAACAAACATTCCCCTTCTGGGATGAAGGGGCAGAAGGGCAGCTGTTACTCTCTCCTTGCCTGGGAGAAGAGACACCTAGAAAGAAATGTTTATATGACAATCTAAGAATTTCCTAAATTCTTACAACCCCAACATGCAATTTGAAAAACCTATTTGCAATGGGGAGCGCTGTTCTGGATCCAACTGTTTAACAACAGAGAAGATGAACCCATCAACTAACTGGAGAGAAAAGCAGGCTATACTGGTGGCCTTGTCTATTTGTCACTGTGTTTTGAATTGCAGAGCATCTCCAAGACAGTGAAAAGATAACAGATAGTAATGTAACAAATTCACTGTACATATGTAACTGAGGAATTGCTAGCATGATACAAACATTAAGAAACAGCTTTCAAACTTTTCCGATGGAAACCAGAGGTCCAAGAAACACATTGCTGTTTTCTCAGCACTGAGGGAATGCTGAGGTTTTAAAAACCTTTCCTTAAATTAGGGATACAATTTTCATTGTGTAGTTGCACTGCAATTCAAATGGATTCAGTACTTTGACTACTTTGCAGTAAATTCTCTATAGTGGTAGCTTGGAGAAAATCCTGAACTCTTTCAAGCATCTGACTCCCAAACCCATGTGCTGCACTGTCACAATACACTGCAAAATACACAGTGGTAAATAACAATAATTTACTTTGGACTGCCATTTAAGAAAAAATGAAAAGGGCTTTGCACTGGTGGAGTGCAACAGGAAATAATCTGGCACAGCAACTTGTGCTGTAGCTCATGGGGGGAATATACAGCATGTTTCTGCTACAGACTCGGGGCACGCACGGGAAGGGGTGTGAAGGAGTTGTTGTCAGCAACTTGTCTATTAGCTTTTGAATAGACTTCCACTGCCTTCAGAGCATGAGTATGAACTTCAGTCAGCTGTCAGATCTTTTTCCAGACAGAAGAACCTGAATATGACAATGATAAATCAAGCAGATGATGTGTTACAAGAGTAAGTGAGGAAGTTTCAAAGTTTGCCCCCACCCAAGCTGCAGCAAAAGACAGAAACACCCAAAGTTAGAGGGAATAGGCTGCACTTAACACAAGTTTAGGGCTACTCTGGATCTGTCTACCCAAGAAGAGAGAGAGTTTAAACCTAGATCAACAGTAGCCATATCGACAGACACCCATGTGAGATCTCACCATAAATAAAGCAATTCTGTTAGCAATTATCAATTTCTCAAAAAAACCTCTTTTTAAACAAAGTATTTTTTCTCCTTGTCAAAACTATTGGCTTAAGCCAGAAAAGAAGGGCAATATAAGTATTAACTGGTAAACAATCCCACAGGTCACCAGTGTGGGCTTCCCAGCCCAGGAAGCAGCATAAAAGCAGCAGCACTTCTGAGCTGCCCCAGCCTGACAGCAGCTAGAAGTGGATGAGGTTGCTTCTGAAGCAGAAGACAGCCAGCATATTTCAGCTGCTCCTGCACATCTGCTTAGCATTAAACTTCCTTCTTGGGGATTTTTTTTTTTTTTATTCCAAGACGTTTAAGCTCTAATTGCTACCAGCTTTTAAGAGTCCCCCCTACAAATAATAAAAATATCAGACATTAGTGATAGATTCCACTTCACAGAGAGCTCAAACGAAGAGCCGCGGCGGGAGCCAGCATACGGGGAGGAGGTCAGAGGCCTCAGAAACATGCTGTGCCTGAGCCAACAAAACACAAGCTTTGAACAGCCCCAGGTTTCCCCTTTAGGACAGGGTTTTACTGGAATTCTGCATGAGGCTTGGACCTGGTTTCCAATGGGATTGGTAACAGTAAACGAACAAACCTTCGCTTCCTGCCACTCCTCTCCCCCACTGCCACACGGCCGAACACTGGCTGGTCTCTGATCACTTGGAAGTGCAGGGGGGAGAAATCTCAGTATCTGGAAGGAAAATTAAAGTTGCCTGCTCAAAGCAGGCCACTCCTAGGGCAATGGCATCCCAATTCTGCTCTTAACACCAGTCCCCACAGCCCCTGCTGCCGACTTCAATTGGAGCCAGAACAAACTCCTCCTACCGGAATTATTTTTAAAAACTCAAAAGGAACATGAATCCATAAATTACAGCTAAGTCACGAGGCTGAGGCAGTTGTGAGGAGCACAGAGGAGGCTTTCCTTCAGAGCCACACTGCACAGAAATAGCAGCACAGCAGGCACGTCACTGGAAGTGGCTGCTGAACCCCATCCCATCGCTTTCAAGCTGCCACGAGGGAGCTGGGCAACCCTCCCACGGGTCAAGGGGGTTCCTCAGGTGTGAAAGAAGAGGAAGGAGTTGAAGGGCAAAATTTGAAGACAAAATTAGGCTGGTTGCTATGGTGAACATGAAACATATTATTCTAGATTTCAGCAGAAGCTTTTGTGCTGCCAGTGAGACTGGTTTGCTGCTCCTCCCACCTCTGGCAAGAGAGCAGGCGCCAGACTGCTGGGGACTAATGCTTTATGCTTGTGATACAGCTCCACTCATCTCATTTTAGCAGCAGACTATTTGTCTTTTGTACAGTTAGAGCAGAACAAGCTTCCACAAAAACCTACAATAGCTGGAGTCAGTCTAGAATCAAATGCATGAGCTCCATCTACCAAAATCCAGATACCATGTTCATGGTACACATCAGTACTGCACATCCAGGCGGGCTCCTGCCCCAGCAGGTGCAGAGGAACTCCTCCTCCATGGGCATTTTAGCAGAAGCTGCAGATACAGGTTCCTTTTGTTAGTAACACTGTCAGAATGTCAGTTCAGTGTTGAGCCCAGCATCCATGATTTGATACTGCTGCCAGCACCAGGAGGGACACTCTCCTGCAGAATCACAGAATCAGGAACCATTATAACAAGCATTTTTTAAAACAAAAAGCTGTCTAGCTTGTTAAGCTACATATTTCCCAACAACAGTCCTGCAGTAACTGTGGGCAATTGGATCACACTGGCCATGAGTTTCAGTGTGGTTGTAGTTCTGGAGATGTAACCCTTGCCCCAAATGATTTCTGTGCATAGCTGAGAAATTAGCACAGGCCAAAGACAGGCCCCTACCAGTGATCTGGATGTGGCCACCTCGCTTTGGAGGGCAAAGAGTTTAATTACACAGGTATAGCCTGTTCTTTGGAAGTGGCCTTCCACAGAAGATAACAGTCCCAGGACCATTTAACTAATAAAACTATTTTGTTCTCATGAAGCCTTTAACATTACTGGGAATACCAAAATCTCCCAGCTCTTACAGTGCAACTTAAATTACTGAGAAAGGGATTATAAGAACAAGTGGCCATACTGAAGAGATACTGACATCTGGTCCATTTCCAACAGTGCTCTGTTCCATGAGTGCAGTTGAGTGTTTTGCAGACTCATTTTGTAGACTTCTACCCTTCCTGTCTTAATTGGAGAGGTGAAAAGAAAAGAAGCAACACAATCAGTGATTCCTCAGACTGGAGCTGGGGGAAATAAATGCTTCTTCTGAGGAATGGGTGTGTTCTCATGCCAACAGTGGTATCTGACAAGTCAGCAAGAAGTGGGCTGACCACACTGTTCCTTAAATGTGTCCACTTCTTAGAATTGGCCTAGAGCCTTGTTGGCTGCAATGTTCATCACATATGGCAGAACAGAAAACAGAAGTTGAGCCTGTATTTCAGTTTACATTTTGGAAGACAAGCCTGCATACACGAAGCACTATGTTGCTGTCCTGGGGGCTCAGGTGGGACACCTTACTGCCCCAAGCAGGTAAAGAACCCAAAAGCCAGGCTCAGTCTACTCAGTCCAGGGCTTCTTGCTGGGATTTTGCCTCTACTTTCCACCTTCTTGCTTCCTTTCTGCACTCCTCAGACAAGCAAAGGAACAACCTCCTCCTCCTCTGGACAAGGTGAGGCTGCCCAGTCAAGAGCAGAAAGCTCAGTGAGGAACCCCAAAACCGTGGGGCTTGTTTCTCCTTCCATCTGCAGACAGTGCACCATGCTCAATCCTTGTGGCCCTCTCCAAAATCTCCATCCCCCAGATCCACTGACCATCCTCTGTCAGCCTCTCTGCAGGTTTCTCTCCTCTAGTCCCTTCCCCTTCAGCTGGGGCTTGACTCTTCAGTTAAATGGGAAGGCACTAAAATGCAACAGTCCTAGACTAGGGGAAGAAGACAGAAATACTTGGTTTGCTAAGCTCCCCCCAGAAGTGGAAGTACTTTTACCAGAGAATTCCTCTGATACAGAGTCTGTGTGCAGTTTTACAACACAGCTGGAAA